AAATGTTAAACCCCATAATAGTCCAAAGGAATTAATGGAACAATGCATGCATTTTCATAGGCACAAAATAAGACTGTAATTTAAGGAAGAAGAAATTATTTCAATCATTATCACATTATTATTGTGAAAGAATGGTGTGCTATAATTCACTACCTAGGACAGGTGATATATCCAACTATAGAACAGCATCACTTGAACTGGAAACAACAGAATGGATTACTATAAGAAAGTATTTTAAAAATACTGTACACTGCTTCCTCGATTGCACAGCATATGTAAACAAACAGCTAACTCAACAGAGTTTTAAAATATTACTTTAAAGAGGTTATTTTTTTACCTTTTGCATAACACGCCAGGTTTATTCTTTCACATTGTCATAATGCACCTATCACAGCTCATAGTGGCTTATTAGGGCTATGTGCCAGCTCACAGACCAGCCTTTTCCAACCTGACACCCTTCAGAAGTTTTGAGATTCTAACTCCTAAGAACCCCAGTCAGAAGTCCCAACACATTTGTAAGGTCCAGGCTAGAAAAGCTGTGCAGAATTGATAGTGGAGCTCTGCAGAAAAAAAATGGAAGCCTAACAGCAACAACTACAGCCTCTGATTCCTTGCCCAAGAACTGCTGATATATTGGAACGTTAGCTAGAAGACCCTATTGTTCAGTGGAATTTATCTTGTATTATTGAACACTGTACTGTATGTGTTGTATAAAGATATAACTATACACTGCAATGGTGGAAAATCTTTGGCTCCAGAGCCTAACATAGCCTGTTTTCCCTTTTTGCACATGACTGCTGCAAATGGACAGCAGAGCTTCAGGTAGGAAACACATGAAAACTGTTGTGCAAGGCCTAAAATAAGCACCTATACTGTTGTGCAAGGCCTAAACCCAGATCTGGCCCTGTTTATGTTGTGGCCCTCAAACTCCACTTTCCCAATGTTGAGAGTAGCCTTTGACTTGCTAAAGGTTATCCTCCCTGATACAGTGCTAAATCCAAAAGTTGATCTAATACAATCACATTACAGTACCCCATTATGTAAAGAAACACATTGGATTATCCTGATGTCTCTTGTTCAACTTCATGTAAATGTAGCCCTCCTGTTACTCTGAATGTTTGATTAGCATTTATCCAGATGTTATGATGATATAGAGGTAAATGCACTAAGTCTGGGTTGAATTCATCTTGAAATTGTATGTCTTTCCTATTCCATAGCTATTTGGATTAGTAACTTTGTATTTTATACACAATACAACATTCAGATTATAAATTAAAACACTGCATGGTTTCTTGCTTCTTCTTTAGGGGCTAATACAGTGGACCATACAGGATACTAAAAAAAAATAGATATTCAGAGCACACAAAACCTGAAACACAGGAAGTATTCAAGTGAGTATCAAAAGAGGCATCATGGCTTAGAGACAATGGGAACATTTTCTAGAATACTGTTGTTCATTCACATAACTGGTTTCATTGTTCAATGCAATGCATTTATCTTGACATATGTACAATCTTTATCAAAAATGAAAATAAGGGTACATCTGTTTCCACGTTCTAGAAAAGTTGCTTATTTTAGCAGGAAAATGCTTCATTTGCTTACTTATTCTTGAGTTAGCAGCATGAACTATGCAGAAGTGAGCATTTTACTGCTCAGTTATTGCTGTTTGATAGCTTATGGAAAGATTTCCAACTTTGCATGTTGAAAGTACAACTTCTAGCTTAATAATGCTGTATTCTAAGCTCTATTCAGCATCCCAATTTGGAATATCTTATAGAAAACTAGCTCTCAGCTATTAACTGGTCCTGAATACACTTTTTTAATAAAGAAGATGGGAGGTCAAATGTTATAATATCCATTGTCAATCCTGATGATTAAAGTGTTTATATATGTTAACTTGGAATGCTAAAGTGTGCTTTATAAATTATATAAAGATTTCAATTTTTGTCCATTGTATCTTTATATATATCATAACTGTAAGTAAAATGGGAAAATGTGATTTTAAAATAGGAATAATTCCTAAGAATTATTCTTTTTAATTCAAATGATCTCATGGATTCCTGCCTTCTTGTTTCTGTGTGCAAAGAATATTTTTATAGTAACTAAAAAAAATTGTAATACTAAATGTTTCTTCTTCTGTGATTTCAGCAGAACACCCATGGTAGTTTATGAAAAATACACAATCAAATGCTTTTTTTTAAACAAAAGCCA